GTTGTAAGCCATTATTACCATTAAAGTCAGTATTTATCAAACAAGTCTCCTCACTCACAGCCCACCAATCCACTAAAGATTGATTGATACAAGAAGAAGCAAAACTAAAAGGTTATGGGCCCAGAAGAGCTGTGAGTTTGGAGTGAAACAATGGCTGACGAAGCACGTGGAAACAAGTGTATCTTGAACTCCGATAATTATGAAGAATGGGCGTCAAGAACACGACTGTACCTCAAGAAGAAGAAACTCTGGCAAGCCGTAGAAGGATGGCCTACCGAGTACAAGAAGAACGCTTTTGGAGTTTTCATCTACGACGACGAAGGAAACAAGGTTCCAGTCGAAATCTCCAGAAAAGAAGAAGCTAGAAGAAATGACATGAACAATAGCGCTCACTGCACCATTGCTGAACTCGTGAACAAGGAAGCGCTTCACGAGATAGAGTACCTCGAGACTGCTAAAGAAGCCTGGGACAGACTGTAGGAGGTAAATTGCAACCTTGATTTCTTTTATGAACTTTCATTTTTAAGAGATCTTCTGAACGTGGAACTCAAGTGTGACGACGCCGGGGACTACATCACCAAGATCATTGAACTAAGTAGAAAGTGCAAACACCACTTAGAAATGGATTTCTCAGACAGGATTCTTGGCGCGATTGCCCTTGCTAACTTGCCAAGTAAGTTTAGCTTAATGGTAAGAACTGTTGATAAGACTAAGATAGCATTACCTTATGTAAAGGCTCAGATAAAGCAAGAGATCACTCGTCAAAAGCAAGATGGTGAGAGAGAGACGGAAGAAAATGTTCGAGCCCTCATGTTGAAGAAGGAAGCCGCGAAGAAAGAGAAGAAACCTGAGTCAGAGAAACCACAAGCAAAGAAGAAAATCATTCCGAAGAAACCAGTTGAAGAAAAGAAGAATGAAGAGGATAAACCGAAGAGATTTATCTGCTACACCTGTGGGAAACCTGACCATATGGCTCGTGACTGTCCAAATTATGAGGAGTCCAAGAAATCAGAAGAAGAGAAGAAAGAAGAGAAACCCAAGAAAGAAGAAAAGAAGAAATGTGCAAAACTTTCACTAGAAAAAGTCAAAGTATTTCGCTTAAGCAAGAAGAAAGAAAACAGCAAGAAGAAGTTTCTGTTACTTGACAATTGGGCCACGGACCACATGTTGAGGGACAAGGAGCTCTTCGACAACATCTCACCAGCATCAGGGGAAGTGAGTCAAGGAGACGGGTCTGCTATCCAAATTGAAGGTATTGGCACTGCAAGACTCAGGCTGTCAGAGAAGTGTGGTGGGTATACTATAGTATTGAAGAAAGCCTTCTATATTCCCAACTTATCTGACAACATTGTCTCACAAGCTGAGCTGGAAAATAAAGGAGTTGAATTCCACTCGAAGAAGGACACATCAACTGCCTTTATAGATGATGAAGTGCTGTTTACTGCATTCAAAATGGGTAAGCTTACCTGGCTGACCCTAGATGGTGTTGGAGAAGAAGACAATGAAGAAATAAGGAAGACATTAGCAGGAACCACAATAGAGACATGGCACTACAAAATGGGGCATTTGCATGAAAAAGCATTGAAGAAGTTACCCGTTACAATGAAGTCTAAACCTGACTCTCTTGAACACTGTGAGACTTGCTGCACCACGAAGAACAAGAAGGAGTCTTATCCGAAGAATCATCCCTGCAAACCGAAGCAACCCTTGGAGAGGATCCACTCCGATCTGATGGGTAAATTGAATCCAGCATCAAAGGGTGGTGCTGAATACATAGCAACATTCATTGATGGATATTCAAATCATGTCACTGCAATACCCATGAAGAAAAAGAGTGACACTTTGGGTGAATTCAAGAAGTATCAAGCAAGAGTAGCAAACCTCCATGACAAGAAGATAAAAGAGATTCAAACTGACAATGGGACAGAATATGTAAATTCTGAATTTAAGGCCCACTTAGAAGATGGTGGGGTCTTACACCGCAAAAGTGTCAAGAAGAATCCACAGCAGAATGGTAAAGCTGAAAGACAAAATCAGACATTGATGTCAACAGTGAGATCTATGTTAAAACAAGCTGGTATGCCAAAAGAATTTTGGGGAGAAGCACTAAATGCCGCATGTTATGTGAGAAACAGAAGTCTATCAGCTGCCATTGGAGGCAAAATTCCCTTGGAATTATGGCTTGACAGAAAGTTAACCAAAGAAGATTATGAAAACATCAAAGTGTTTGGCTGTTTAGCCTATGCTCATGTAGATGATGCAGGGAAATTTGATGACAAGGGAGAAAAGTGTGTCTTCCTTGGCTATCCGGACGGCGTCAAGGGATATAGGCTTTGGAGCATGTCAAGAAACCAAGCCATCATCAGCCGAGATGTCAAATTCTTTGAGAAGATATTTCCATTCAAGCAGAAGCAGAAACCAAAACAAACTGAGCAGTATGAAAACTACTTCTCAACCTCTGACGAATCTGAATCTGAATGTGAGGAAGAAAAATCATCAGCAGACAACGAAAGTGAGAGTGACCCTGAGCCCTCTGGAAGCGAAAGTGACGCTCACAGTGGCAGTGACTCTGACACCAAAACATCAGAATCAGAACAGCAGACGACAAGTGATGAGGAAGATGGGGAAGAATCTGGAGAGGAGAATGGAAATACAGAAGTTGACAGTGAAGAAAACAACACAGAAGATGAAGAAAATAGTGAACATAAAGAAACAATAAATCTACACTCAGAAGATGAAGATCAGGAAGAAAATCAATCATCATCATCTGAAGAAGAACAAGTTCAAGCACCACTCAGAAGATCTACTAGGGTTAAGAAGCACAAAGCAAACTGTACTCTACCTTGCTGTAATAAGGTTAGCCTAGGTTTTGTTGATGTGGTTGAACCTAAAACAGTTCAAGAAGCACTAAATGGCCCGGACAAAGAAAAATGGAAGGCTGCCATGGAAGCCGAACTGAGTCAGATGAAGAAACAAGAAACGTGGGAAGTTGTTAAGAAGAAACCAGGCAAGAATATTGTAGGCTCGAAGTGGGTCTTCAAAATTAAAACTGATCGTGAACCCCCTGTTTACAAAGCACGATTAGTAGCTCAAGGATACAGTCAGATCAAGGGACTGGATTATGAAGAGACATTCTCGCCTGTTATCAAGAAGAAATCATTGAGACTTCTTTTGGTGTTGGCTGTGGAAGAGGGATATGAAGCAAGACATGTTGATGTTACTTCGGCTTACCTAAACAGTCCAATTACAAATGAAGTATATATGAAACAACCAGAAGGATATGAAGAGCAGGGGAAGCCAAGTGCAAAATTTGTTTGCAAGTTAAAGAAGAGCATTTACGGTCTCCATCAAGCAGGACGGGACTGGAATTCTTTTGTTGATGAAAAATTGAAAGAAGTTGGATTGTCACAGAGCTACAAAGAGACTTGTATCTATTACTCAGATGAGTTAGTTGTAGGTCTTTATGTGGACGATATGCTGATCATTGGGAAGAAAAAGAAAATAGAAGCTCTACTCAAGAAGTTGTCAAGTTTCGTCGAATTTAGAGACTTAGGGCAAGTGGAGAGCATCTTATCTATCCAAGTGGACAGAGAGAGTAAAGATGTGGTTCAACTTCATCAATCCAAGTATATTGAGAAAGTTTTGAGAGATTTCAGAGTTGTGAAGAAATCTGTAAGTCCACTCCCACTAGGACCTCAAAATGAAGGATTTTGCGAAGAAAAGGTAGATTCTACCTTGTACAGGAAAATCATAGGGCATTTGCTGTATTTAGCAAATGGCACTAGGCCTGATATGAGCTATGCCGTGTACAAGTTGGCACAAAGCTGTTCCGATCCAAGAAGAGGACATTGGAATCAAGTCAGACATCTGCTGAGATATCTTAATCATACCAAAGATTTGAAACTAAGATACATCAAGAGCAACAAGCAAGTGGAAGCATACTGTGATTCTGATTGGGCAGAATGTAAGGGTCAGTAAGTGGTGTAGTACTTATGATGTCAGGTGGTTCTGTAGTGTGGTATGCAAGGAAGCAGACATCTGTTGCGGGAGCAACACTCGAGGCAGAATACATTGCTATGAATGAATGTGTTAAAGATGTGCTGTGGATACAAGATGTTCTGGAAGAATTAAAGTTGAGTGAGTATGCCCCTCGCCCAATCAAGATAAATGTGGATAACCAGGGAGCAATTAGCCTGGCTAATCACAATGTCAATAGTGAGAAGAGCAGGCATTTTGATACTCGCCTACACCACATGAGAGATGAGAGGAAGAAAGGAAGATTGGAATTCCATTACATTCCAACCAAGAAGAATTTGGCAGACATCCTCACGAAGGCGTTGTCTGGAGTCAAGACTCAAGAGTTGGCGCACAGCTTGGGACTTCACTGAAGATTAGTCACCAAAGAAATGTGTTTTTTTTTTTGATAGTCAGTTTTTTAAATAAATAAGCCAGACTGTTATTGTATTTGAAAAATTGTCTCTCTATTTTTATATTAAACTGTTTAATCGTTTATTATATACTCGTTATGTATGCAAGTTTTTGTAGTCAATTGTTGTATTGAAGTTTAAACATATGTTGTATTAATATGTTTTTCTTACAGCCATTATCCATAAAAGGGGAAGTGTTAGAATTCTCATTAAATATGGTTTATGTAAATGGCTGTAGTGGCAGCACTTGGAGTTAATTGCCGTCCTTTGTTTTTTTT